TCCTCCTCCTCCCTGGAAAGTGTCCTCCTTCCTGGCGGCCCTCTCCCCTGTTCTTCCTCTTCTTCCTCGTCTTAGCCCATCCCTCCTCTTCCTCCGTCCTCCCTCTCCTTCCTCTCGCGCCTTCCTCCGTCTTTCCTTCTCCTCCCTGACGGCCGCCCTCCTCCTTACCTGGAGGTGACCATCGGGCTCTGAGTGGACGGGAGTCGGAAGGGCAAAACGAGCGCCTCGCTCGAGGCATCTCTGCGATCTGGCCGCGAAGGGGCGAGTGCACCCCCCGCTGGCTGCTCCCCCTCGGGGTTGCGAAAGCCAGAGCCTCGTTCCAGACATCCTCACAGTCTTCTCCGAGAGCCGACGAGCCCACGCCACCCCACAAGAGAAGCGCCGGAGACATCCCACTCACATGGTCGCAGGCAGGCAGGCCGGTTGCGGCTCCCCCGTTGGGGTGCTGAAGCCAGCGCGCCACTCGAGACATCCTCACACTCAGCTCTGACATCGGAAGAATCTCTGCCACCAGCCAAGCAAACAGCTCGAGACATCCCTGCAATCGGCTCTGAAAGCTGGGGAGTTCAAACCACCGAACAAGCAAAACGCTTGAAACACCCCCCCACACTCTAGGCCCCTTGGGGTCCTGAAGCAAGCGAGTCACCTGAGACATCCTCGCAATCTGCTATGACCGCATTCGAATCTGGGCACCCCAAACGAGCAATTCGATCGACACATCCCCACAATAGAACTGCGACCGTGCCCGCGAACGGGCCCGTGAGAACACCCAGGCGGCTGCCCCATAGGAGTGCTGACACCAGCGCCTCGCTCGAGACAGCCTCACCGCCTGCTCTGTGCACGAGGGATCTTGGGCACCCCACGTCGGCCAGGCGCTCGAGACGCCCTCGCACTCCGAGCGCGCACGGGCCCGCGAGAAGAGCCCGGCGGCGCCCCCTGGAAGTGCTCAAAAACCAGCGCCCCGCGCGAGAAATCCCCACAGGTCTGCTCCGAGAGCAGCGGGTGCCGCGCGCCCGGACGAGCAGGGCGCGCGAGCCGGCCCCGCCGGGCGGGCGCGACGGGGCCGGGGAGGACACCCGGGCGGCTCTCCCCTTTGGCAGTGCCGAAGCCAGCGCCTCGCGAGACATCCTTACAATCTACTCTGAAGTCGGGCGTGTCCCCCCCCACAAGGGGGACCGTGGACGAAAAACGAAACAGACTCAAGAGATGCTCAAAAGATGCCCAAAGATACTCGACAAGTAGTCCCGAGACTATTCTTTTGGCTACTGGTGAATCTCCCCCCTGTAGAGGGACAGGCCCGACATACATCGACTCTGAAAAAAATAGCCTGACGAAGGACCCAACCATGTGCAGTTGCGAGTACCGCATTGTGGGTACCGGTTTCGGTGGAGCTCCTATGGGCCACGAAACTTGTGAGGGGTGCGCCGAAATTGGTGGCGCGGACGCATGTGGACACCGCCACTGGGGCCTTCGGTGTAGCTCCCTATGGGGCCACGAAACGCTGCCCTGGGCGAGGGAGACGCATGCGAACTGCGCCATTGGGACCTTCGCTGGAGCTCCTTATGGGGCCACGAAGCGCTGTCATGGGTGGGGGAGACGCATGCGAACTGCGCCTCTGGCACCTTCGGTGGAGCTCCCTATAGGGCCACGAAGCGCTGTCCCGGGCAGGGGAGACGCATGCGAACACCCCCACTGGGGCCTTCGGTGGAGCTCCCTATGGGGCCACGAAACGCTGCCCTGGGTGGGGGAACCGCATGCGCCCACCCCCACTGCGACCTTCGGTGGAGCTCCCTATGGGGCCACGAAGCGCTGCCCTGGGTGGGGGAACCGCATGCGCCCACCCCCACTGGGGCCTTCGGTGGAGCTCCCTGTGGGGCCAAGAAGCGCTGCCCTGGGTGGGGGAACCGCATGCGCCCACCCCCACTGGGGCCTGCGGTGGAGCTCCCTGTGGGGCCAAGAAACGCTGCCCTGGGTGGGGGAACCGCATGCGCCCACCCCTCTCTGACCTTCGGTGGAGCTCCCTATGGGGCCACGAAGCGCTGCCCTGGGTGTGGGAACCGCATGCGCCCCCCTCACTGGGACCTTCGGTGGAGCTCCCTATGGGGCCACGAAGCGCTGCCCTGGGTTTGGGAACCGCATGCGCCCCCCCTCACTGGGACCTTCGGTGGAGCTCCCTCTGGGGCCACGAAGCGCTGCTCTGGGTGTGGGAACCGCATGAGCCCCCCCTCACTGGGACCTTCGGTGGCGCTCCCTACGGGGCTACGAAGCGTGTGAGAGGTGTGCCGAGAGCAGAGGCAAGGAGGGGGAGGAGGGAGGAGGGGGAGGAGGGAAGGAAGGAAGGAAGGAAGGAAGGAAGGAAGGAAGGAAGGAAGGAAGGAAGGGACGCGGGGCACCGTCTCTTCAAAACGAGGACCCAACACCACAGGATGGTTGGGAACAAATATTGTGCACTCAACCGAGCGAACGCGCGAACGGGCCCGTCGGAACACCCTGGCCCCCCCCCCCCTGGGAGGGCTGAAACCAGCGCCTTGCTCGAATACGGGCCCCCATTTTCTGTGAGAGTGAGTCGTAGAGAGTGCGAGTCTGAGTGAGTCTGAGTATGAGCGAGTCTGAACGCGAGGGAGTCTGAATGAGTCTGAGTGTGGGCGAGTCGGAGCCTGAGCGAGTCCGAGGGTGATGACTGAGTCTGAGTGTGAGTGAGTCTGAGTGAGTCTGAGTGTGACGAGTGAGCCTGAGCGGGGAAGAGGAGGGATGAGGATGAGTGCAAGTATGAGTGAGTCTGAGAGTGGTTCGGAGTGTGAGTGAGCCTGAGCGTACCAGAGTGAGTCTGAGAGTGACCGAGTTGAGGGAGAGGAGGAGAAGGAGGAGGAGGAGGAATAGGAGGAGGAGGAGGAGGAGGAGGAGGAGGAGGAGGAGGAGGAGGAGGAGGAATGAACAAGTCCGACAACGTCGCAATAATACAACGAACCTCAACTCAAGATATATGGGAATCAACACTGCGGAATGCACTCTGCACCATCAGCCGGATCATGCGCGGACGCCCCACGATCACTTTGCATGGCTTTTGGCAGGGGCCGCGATAGGGGGCGACACATTGCCTGCTCTGTGCAGTGTCAGCACGCCAAGCCGCTCAAGACAACACACTGACACCACTTTGCACACACGCCCAGACCGTGCGCGGAACTCCACGATCACCTCGCACTGGCTTTCGACGGACCGGCGGGGGTCGGGGGCGGCATTTTGCCTGCCGTGTGCAGGCTCACCGCTCACCATCAACAGGACGTGCAGCTCTCGCTTTGCCAAGGGCGGCGGGGGGGAGGGACGGCATGCTGCCTGCCGTGTGCAGGCCCTGCCGCCCCCGTCAAGCACAAAGGGCAACATGCTTGCGGGTGCACGCCCGCACGCAGCACACAGTGCTCGCAGCCTCGCCCCCACCTGGCATGGGCTCTTGAACGGGCTGGGAGGGGGGGGGGGTCCAGCATAGCGACACGTAGCACAGTGCTCGCAACCTCGCCGTCACCTGGCATGGGTTCTTGAACAGGCTGGGGGGGGGGTCAGCACAGCACCACGTAGCGCACCAGGTGCGCACGGCGCGCCCGGCATGCCCGGCGCGCCTCGCGGGCCTCGCGGGCGCGCCGGGCAGGCGTCCCCACCGTCTCCCGATGGCTGGCCACGGCGGCCCCTGCCTGTGCTGAGGCTCGAGTGCTGCTTGTGTCGTGGGCCGGCGGGTGGGAATGAGTGGGGCAACTCGCGGCAACTCCTACTGCCCCCGCCCCCGGGGTCTGGATAGGGGGGGGGCGGCGAGCGGTCAGACCGTCTAAGATGACCCAAGGTCCTCAGAGAGCCCACGATGACCTCCAAGATGGTTCAAGATGGCTTCCAACATATTCTAACGAGTCCCAAGGCTGCTCCAGTGCGGGTCTAAGTGGGCTTCGGGCCGCCACGGGGCGCGTCCAAGATGCCAACAGCTTTCAACCATCTTGAGAACATCACGGATTCTAGCCTGCTCCTGTTTTCGCTTCCGATGGCCTTCCCAGGCCTCACGGCGGCCCCGAGAGGGCCCCACGAGAGGCCCACGATATGGCGCAGGACGGCCCCGAGGGCGCCCACGAGGGCGCTCCAGGAGGGCCGATGTTAGGAGCTCTGGAAGGGCAGCGCTGATTGGGACCCCTCCCCTCTTGGATCGAACTTCTCCCAGACGGCCCCGAGAGGGCGCCCGAGGCTCCCAAGAGGGCCTCAAGATACGCGCCCCACGAGCGCCCCCCACACAAGGGCTCCAAGAAATGTCTCGAGCCCAAGAGAGGCAACCCTAGTCCGTGCCACCCTCTCTTCCTCCTTCTCTTGCCCCCATACCTCCTCACCATCATCATCTTCATCTTCTTCCTCCTTCTCCTCCTCCTCCTCCTCCTTCGACCTCGGGTTCACCAGAAGTTGAGTGAGAGCGTGTTCCATCAAACGACTCTACCTTGTGCTCGCCTTCCTCTCCTCCCCCTCATCCTCCTCCTGCTCCTCCTACTTTTCCTCCCTCATCCTCCCTCCTCCTCCTTTTCCTCCTCCTCGTTCTCCTCCAGTCTCAGCCTTGTCCTCCGCCCTTCCTCCTGGTTCTGCCCAAGCCGATTCAACACTTCGATTGGACCTCCACTGCATACTCCCCCACTTTCCTGATCGAGGCAACCTGTCTGGGCATGGCTTTTTGATAGGCTGGCGGGGATACGCGGAGCGTCAAACATATCGACGTCACTAGAGCTCGTAGCGGCTGTGATGGTCATGGTGAACACAACAACGCTCTTGCAGCGCATGGTAGGCAGCCTCCAGCACGCCATTGTGATGCATACCCACTCCACTGCCTGACGAACACGATACCGATCAACGGGGAAGCGATGTGCCTTTTCGGACGCAACGGTCAGGACGGCGGGGCCAACAACCTCCACCGACGAACAAAAATCACCCCGCGGCCGCCTCAGCGACCGTGCTACTAGTTATACATCTCAAGCGTCCAATCAGGCCTTCTTCCTAGTCTGGAAAGGCCCGTTTACGGGCTGCGGCTTGAAACACCCAGTGACCATCCGGCTGGCCTCCGTGTGATCGTCTGGGCCAAGGAGGCCTGCAGGATCGTCCCCGACACCCGACACGAACACCTCCAGGTCGTTCTGGTAGTACACGCTTCCTGCGTTGAATCCGCGCCACACGGTAGACCAAGTCACGGTGATCACGTTGGCGCCGTTCTCCAAGGAGCAAACCGCGGTGAAGAGCTTCGTGCGCTTGCGGAAACTGTTCTTGGTGGGCTCCGCGATGGGGCCCCGAGGACGCGTGATCTGGCATTGCGGCACCAGCTGGACGAAAGCTGCCGGATCGTCGGTGGCATTGGTGGACCCAGACGGTGTGTTGACGATCAGCCCCATAGCGGCAGTCTCGTTGAAGACATCGCTGCCGACCGAAAATTCCAGAGATGTGATGTTGCTCCCCAACTTTTGGCCGAAGACCGACACTTTACGAATGAGGAGGTCGTCGCAATCTTTCAACCCCACATCCTCAATAGTCGCATTGACCACCAAGTCCGCAGCTCCTGTGTCGGACGGGTCGAACCCCCTGGGGATCCCAATCAAATTCCACTCCCCAGGCAGAGTCACATGGAACTTCTCGCCGAGCGTGTTGGTCAACTCTGGGTCCAGGGCGGACACGACGCGGGATCCCATCAACTGCATAGAGTCCTGCGGGTCAGTGACCTGCAAGCCACTGACGGCGGCGACAACGGCTGCGCCGAGAGAAAGCCCAAGCATCTCGGGAGCGCGGAGATCTGAACCGGTAGCAGGTGTGCGAGAATCGCTGATTCAGGTAACTCATCAAGCCAGAATTCGGTCAGTCATGCAACGTGTCACGATGTCGATGACAATGACGCAAGATAGAGCGATGACGATGGCAATGCCACTCACGGAACACGTACGTAGTGACACCGGCGACCACGATGAAATCAAGCAAGTATGCAGATAGTCCTATGCCAAATAGCGAATGCGACTTCGACGTGAGAAATCTAGGGGCACGGTCTCTGAGTTTGCTCATGTGCCCCAAATTTCCTGCGGGTCCCCCAGGGCCATCGGGGGATACGACATTTCCGTGGGGCACTTGCTGACAAGCTGGTCTCTTATTTGATGCGCCTACTGTGGTGGCTGTGACGGTAGTAGTGCGCATGGTAGGCACAACATCCCTCTTGCAGCGTATGGTAGGCAGCCTACGCATACCCACTGCGCTGCCTGACGAGCACGATGGCGATCACCGGCGATGACCGGTGGCGGAAGCGATGAACCTTTGAAGACTCAACGGTCAGGACGGCGGGGGCCAAAAGCCTCCACCGACGAGCAAAAATCACCCCGCGGCCCGCTTCCGCAGCCGCGCTCCCCCAGACATCCGCCGGCCCCCTCTTGTGGTGCCACCAGGCTGCGGCGCTGAGGTGTTCTGCTTCCCGGCCCCCGAGGCCAGAATCCTTTGTAAATCCCACCAGCCCTTTGGCGTAGGTGGTCGAACGAGTTCTCTCTTTCCTCGTCCAAAGCCATCTTACCCTCGGGGAGGGATAACCCTTCTCCTTCCCTTACTGAATTTGTTTGGGGGGTCCGCGAGGTGGCAGAGGTTTTGCATTTTTCGCCCAAGATGGCTCCAAGAAGGCCTCCCATGCTCCAGGATGGCTTCCCAAAGCGGCCCAAGATAGCCGAAGATGGTTCAAGATCGCCTCCGAGATATCTCCAAGAGGCCCGATCAGGGCCACAAGACGGTTCCAAGTCCTCTCGGAGCCCTCTCGAGACCACTCAGGAGGCAAAGTCCTTCAAGCACCTGGGGGAGATCCATGGTTTTTTGCCCTCTCGCCCTTTCGCTTCCGGATGCGCTCTTGAGGCCTCAAGAGTGCCCCAGGATGGCTCAAGAGAGCTCCAAGATTGGCCCTGAGAGGCCCCTCGGACAGCCCCAAGCCAGGAGGAGGGGGGGGGAGGAGGAGGGGGAGGGGGAGGGGGAAGGGAGGGGGAGGAGGTGGAGGAGGAGGAGGAGGAAGAAGAAGAAGAAGAAGACGAGGAGGAAGACGAGGACGAGGCGGAGGAGGCGGAGGAGGACGAGGAGGAGGAGGAGGAGGAGGAGGAGGAGCCGAAGAGGGTCCCAAGAGGCGATTGTGATGGCCCCGCAGGTGGACCTACGTAGAGGGCCACCCCTTTTCGTCGATGGCCTTCCAGATGGCCCCAGGAGGCCTTACAGGGCCCCCAGGAGGGCCCCAGGAGGGCCCCAAGAGGGCCCCAAGAGGGCCCCAGGGCGGCCCCATGAGCGTTCCACGAGTGCCCCAAGGTGCGGGTTGCCTCCTCCTCCTCCTCCTCCTCCTCCTCCTCCCTTCGCCTTCCCGCGGGCCCCAAGGATGGCCCGACGAGGCCCTCCAAGGCCGCCCCCTTGCTCCCAAAGATCTGTCCGTTCATCCTGGATGCCCGCCCGCTTTGCTTCACTGCATGTGTCTCTTCATCTCCTGTTCCGTCAGCTCTCATGGGCTGGGTTTCCGAGCGGGCTGGTGGGCTGGTGGGGACACGCGAAGCCTGAGGAATTACACCAGGATCGCGTTCCGGAGGCCAGAACCCTTAGTGAGTCGCGCCAGAGTCGCGCTCCCGAAGCCAGATGTGGCACATTGCGGTGGATTCGCGCTCCCGAAGCCAGAACCCTTTGCAACCTGCACCGAATTCGCGCTCCCAAGGCCAGATGTTGGCAAACTGCATCAGATAGGCACTCCCCGAATCTGAATCCCTCGTCAATTATTCCGAATTCGCGTTCCCGATGCCAGAATCCCTGATGAAGATCACCACATGCATCCTTCGTAACTTAATTCAGATTCGCGCTCCCGAGGCCATAATCCTTTGTAGATTACGATAGACTCGCTCTGCCGATGCCAGATTCTATTGTACATCACGCCCGCTTCGCGCCCTGAGAACGAAGCAAAGCGTTCAACGGCTCCAGCATCTCAAAGTGCTTGCTGAATGCCAGTCGTCCTCGCCTAATGCCCCCAGAATTTTCAAAACAGCGCCAACACGTCCAAACATACACTCGGAACGCTGTCACGGGGACCCCAAGACAAGGAAGGAGGAACCATTGATCCACAGGTTGAACCTTGAGATTCCCCATAGAAATCTAAGGACAACCTAAACGAAGCTGTAACACAATTGTGGAACACTGAGCCCCTTCCCAACGAACAGGGCTCCTTCTTCAGCGGCCACACCGTAGCTCTGGCATCCCCCATTCGAATATAGAGGGGGCCAGCGGCAAAGGGGCGAAACGATTGCGGATTTATCTATATATGTATGTATGTATGTCTATATATCTATATACACATATATGTATGTATGTATGTATGTATGTATGTATGTATGTATATATATATATATATATATATATATATATATATATATAGCTATAGAGATCAAACGTCCAATCAGGCCTTCTTCCTAGTCTGGAAAGGCCCGTTTACGGGCTGCGGCTTGAAACACCCAGTGACCATCCGGCTGGCCTCCGTGTGATCGTCTGGGCCAAGGAGGCCTGCGGGATCGTCCCCGACCCCCGACACGAACACCTCCAGGTCGTTCTGGTAGTACACGCTTCCTGCGTTGAATCCGCGCCACACGGTAGACCAAGTCACGGTGATCACGTTGGCGCCGTTCTCCAAGGAGCAAACCGCGGTGAAGAGCTTCGTGCGCTTGCGGAAACTGTTCTTGGTGGGCTCCGCGATGGGGCCCCGAGGACGCGTGATCTGGCATTGCGGCACCAGCTGGACGAAAGCTGCCGGATCGTCGGTGGCATTGGTGGACCCAGACGGGGTGTTGACGATCAGCCCCATAGCGGCAGTCTCGTTGAAGACATCGCTGCCGACCGAAAATTCCAGAGAAGTGATGTTGCTCCCCAACTTTTGGCCGAAGACCGACACTTTACGAATGAGGAGGTCGTCGCAATCTTTCAACCCCACATCCTCAATAGTCGCATTGACCACCAAGTCCGCAGCTCCTGTGTCGGACGGGTCGAACCCCCTGGGAATCCCAATCAAATTCCACTCTCCAGGCAGAGTCACATGGAACTTCTCGCCGAGCGTGTTGGTCAACTCTGGGTCCAGGGCGGACACGACGCGGGATCCCATCAACTGCATAGAGTCCTGCGGGTCAGTGACCTGCAAGCCACTGACGGCGGCGACAACGGCTGCGCCGAGAGAAAGCCCAAGCATCTCGGGAGCGCGGAGATCTGAACCGGTAGCAGATGTGCGAGAATCGCTGATTCAGGTAACTCATCAAGCCAGAATTCGGTCAGTCATGCAACGTGTCACGATGTCGATGACAATGACGCAAGATAGAGCGATGACGATGGCAATGCCACTCACGGAACACGTACGTAGCGACGTAGTGACACTGGCGACCACGATGAAATCAAGCAAGTATGCAGATAGTCCTATGCCAAATAGCGAATGCGACTTTGACGTGAGAAATCTAGGGGCACGGTCTCTGAGTTTGCTCATGTGCCCCAAATTTCCTGCGGGTCCCCCAGGGCCATCGGGGGATACGACATTTCCGTGGGGCACTTGCTGACAAGCTGGTCTCTTACTTGATGCGCCTACTGTGGTGGCTGTGACCGTAGTAGTGCGCATGGTAGGCACAACATCCCTCTTGCAGCGTATGGTAAGCAGCCTACGCATACCCACTGCGCTGCCTGACGAGCACGATGGCGATCACCGGCGATGACCGGTGGTGGAAGCGATGAACCTTTGAAGACTCAACGGTCAGGACGGCGGGGGCCAAAAGCCTCCACCGACAAGCAAAAATCACCCCGCGGCCCGCTTCCGCAGCCGCGCTCCCCCAGACATCCGCCGGCCCCCTCTTGTGGTGCCACCAGGCTGCGGCGCTGAGGTGTTCTGCTTCCTGGCCCCCGAGGCCAGAATCCTTTGTAAATCCCACCAGCCCTTTGGCGTAGGTGGTCGAACGAGTTCTCTCTTTCCTCGTCCAAAGCCATCTTCCCCTCTGGGAGGGATAACCCTTCTCCTTCCCTTACTGAATTTGTTTGGGGGGTCCGCGAGGTGGCAGAGGTCTTGCATTTTTCGCCCAAGATGGCTCCAAGAAGGCCTCCCATGCTCCAGGATGGCTTCCCAAAGCGGCCCAAGATAGCCGAAGATGGTTCAAGATCGCCTCCGAGATATCTCCAAGAGGCCCGATCAGGGCCACAAGACGGTTCCAAGTCCTCTCGGAGCCCTCTCGAGACCACTCAGGAGGCAAAGTCCTTCAAGCACCTGGGGGATTTTGATTGCGAAGCCTCGTGACAAGCACATGAGCAGTTGAGACAAGCTAGCGTGGCGCGCAATACCTCCGCACAGCTGTCTTCCAGCTGTCTGCTGGGATAACATCTATATTCTCTTTGGGAAAACCGCAATCGTCGCAGACGGCAGCGGCGTGCCTGCCGACTTCTCCGGCCCACGTCTGCCTAGGACGACCTCTCTTCCTAGCGACGGGCGGCTGTTTTAGTATGCGCGGGGGAGAGGGGCGAGGGGAGGGGGAGGGGGAGGGGGGCGGAGGGTCAAAAATAGCGTCTCAGGGTGCCCTCCCGCGCATCTTGCTATCTGTCCAAACAAACACAGTTGCCTCTGGAGTAAGACACTGCTCAGCTTCATCCGCCCCGCCAGCTGCAGCACGCTGGCGTTGGTCACCCTGCTCCAGTACGAGTGGCCAATGCCAAGAATGCGCCGGAGGCACCTCACGTGGAAAGCGTCCACCTTGGCCAGCTCCTGCTT